AAGCTCTACCTAAATCATGAACCCAAAGGTGCTTTATAGTTTTTCTTGCGTTTTTGGACACAAACCACAAATATGTGTAGCTAAGAGCACTTATCTACTGTGGTCCCACGTCGGAAAAAAACTCTTTCCATACGTACTTTTATATAGGGAAATATTAAAGTATTTGGGTGTATTAGAAATAGAAAGAGGGCCCGTTGGTAACAGTAACGACCCAGCCCAAGTTGTGTTCAAAGCCCTAGTACCAACGGGCATTCTTTGCAATAATTTTTGTTCTTTCCAAATAAACCAGATTTTTGGCCCATATATCCCTTGTCCCACATCGAATAGAAGTACAAGAGGTGTATAGTAAATATAGAGTTAACACGCTACATTTGGTTGCCACGAAGAGAGTCTCTGCGAAGGAAAGTCTCCCAGACAAATGTATGGGGGACTTCCCAGTCACAGTTACTCTCTTTCTTGGCCTCATATCATTTTTGAATCTTCGGCCAGCCTTACATACTTGGTGAGTTTTCCAAATCAGGCTCACAACTAAGGAACATATCACTTCAGACCCCAAGAGTCCAGCTCAATACAGTTCCTCTCAGGCTCACAGCCGAGGAACATATCGTTTCGGACCCCAAGAGTCTAGCTCAATACAGTTCCTCTCGGGCTCACAGCCGAGGAACATATCGCTTCGGACCGCAAGAGTCCAGCTCAATACAGTTCCTCTCGGGCTTAAAGATGAGGAACACCTCGCTTTGGACCCTAAGAGTCTAGCTCAATACAGTTCCACTCTGGCTCATAGCAAAGGAACACAATGCTCAGACCTCAAGAGTCTGACCTACGACAGTTCCTCCCAGGGTCATAGTCGAGGAATACAGAAATTCGGACCTTAAGAGTTCAACGCAACACAGCTCCTCCCAAGCTCATGACCGAGGAACATATTACTTCGGACAATAGGAATCTAGTACAATTCCTCTTAGGTTCCTAGCCAAAGAGTGTACCACCTCGGACGATTTAAGTCCAAAGCTGCGCCAGTAAGGTATAAAACCAACCGAGGGCAAAAGTTTTCTATAGCAACACACCCACAAATCCTTCTTTAATGGGCTAATGGTATATAACTCGTGGAAAGTTTCATCCCACATCAAAATAATACAAGGAAAGCAAGTATTGATATATCTATGCCATACAAATTAGTGGTAAGAAGGGTTCCCTTGACGGTTAGAATGCTAGACAAAGAAACCATCCTCAGATATTAGTTAAATAGTCAGAGGGATTCCCTTCTTATCATCTATCCTATTTTTGCTTCGGACCACAAAAGGTCTAAAGCTCTCAGGCAATAAGCCCTCCTCCCTGAGGATAGGAGCATATTATTACAGTATAGTCTTATAAAAACCAGAGGCATTCACAAGCATGAAAAAGACTTCAGAATAAATGTAGTCATTATATTTTAAGAGCTAAAATATATGGTTTCTACATTCATTCATTCAAAACAAAAAAAAAAAAAAAAAAAAAAAAAAAAAAAAGAAGTTAACTCTAATTCCTTTTTGGATTAAAGGGAACAAAGTCAAAGGCATCCACTATATTCGGACTGGTGGATAGAGGAGGTGGTAGGTCAGAAGATGGAGGACCTGGAAAGCTTGAAGCTGGATGGTCCTCTAGATGAGCCTTCACTATCTCAGCAAAGAGCACATCAGCCTCTTAGGCCTTTGGACCCTCAGCATAAGGGAAGGACACTTCCATGTCAGCATCAAAGGTTTGAAAGTCCTTTACTTTGTCACCTGAGCCCTGGCTTAAGCCAAACCTGAAAGCCTTTACACTGGATAAGCACACAATAGTGGAGTAACGTCCTTGTATTTGCCTCCCAGCAGTAATGCAGGTACCAATAGCATCATTCAAGCACTGGACTTCAGCTTTTAGAGACTTCACCTTCGCCTCAGAAGCTGCCAGGCGATTCTTGTAGACATCCTTCATATCAGAAGCAATCTTCGCATTCATAGCCCAGTGTGAAGCCTTCTTCTCAGCACTGCCCAGGTCCCTTTCTAGTTTCTTAATGGAAAGAGACTGAGCTACAGCAGTGTCACACAGTGCCATAGTCTGGTACAGACTTTACATGATCAACAAGGATAATATCAGTAAATATGTGGTGAAAAGAAATCTGAGGAATTAAGCAAGTGGAGTGAAAAGAAATCTGAGGAATTAAGCAAGTGGAGGGAAAAGAGTAAACCTTCACGGCATCAATTAGGATAGATGGTAGTAGCTAGTCCAACCCTAGATTCCTAATGATTTCTTCATCCTTGGGTGGCCACATCCCCTGAGCAACTGCCAAGGCAGCAGAGGGGTCAAAGACTATCGAATCCCCAGAATGAATGATCAACTTATCAGCCCTTGAGAAAATGGGTCTCCAAGGTTCTCCGGACTCAACTTAAACGTTAGCCCCGACTTCTTCCTCTGGGTCAGTCTCCCTAGCCTTCTTCCTCCTGCTTTTGTGAATGTTCTTGCCCTTGCTGCTAGAGGGAGGGTTCAACTTTGTCTTCTTGAGAGGAGGTTCATCCACCTCCTTCTCGTGCTCAGTCGATCTAATGACCAACAAGGGTTGCTCCTTAGCAGCTTTCCTCTTTAGAGCTTCAGTTCTCTGTTTCTCCTCCTCAGTTAGGGGGAAGCTGTCAAAGGATGGAAGTGCCAAGTCCATAAGGTCTACAGCTATAGCACTAGAAGCAATTTCTTGAAGGTTGGATGAAGTGAGTAGCTCCTCAACCGAAGGGGGCTCGCTCCAAACTTGTGCTTCGAGAAAAATAAGCCTCTTCTTAGCTATAGAGGAGGGGAAGGTTGCTGAAAGAAGACCAAGAAACTCATAAGTATGACAAAAAATAATGCTTGACATGGGAAACAGCCAGAGCACTTTTCATGAAATGAGGGAAGGTACTCTATACCTAGCCTCCCAAATTTGCGAGGAATTGGAAGGGTATTCGATTTATCCACAAACCAATTCCCCTTCATAATTATCATCTTCTCCTTCCACATCTTCTTAGAGGAAGGGAGGTCTGTGCATATCCTCTGCTGAAAAGGAGAATTGAAATAAAAGCGGCCAGGCTCAGTCTCATGCCTAGCGATGGTGTAGGTAATGAGTAAATCAGCAAGAATCAAGTCAAGACTCTCCAGCCTTCGGTGAACTAGAAGTGCTGAAACCACTCGAAGGAAGTTAGGGTTCACTTAGAGAGGGGCAAGCCCATTAGCTGAGTCGTCTGGATCAACCCACATTTAGCCCAATCTTAGTTAAAGGTAGACCAGTCCTGCTAGGCCAAGGAACTGACAGAGAAAACAAGTTCTATGCAAGGAAAATCCTGCATGGAAAGAATTGTAAAAAGGAAAGGATTGTAATTGTAAAGAATGTCATATATGGAATGGATTGGAGGACAAGTCATGCGAATCCTACCATAATTCCACCACCTTGTTTCTTATAAATAGAGGCTTAGACCTCCAATAAATTCATCGGGCATTATATAGTAATTCTGAGTATTATTCATGCTAGTTCTGAGTGATTTATTTTTTTCTTTTTATTTATTTTAATAGAGAGAAATTCTATACCTACACTTTGGCGCCATCTGTGGGAAGCACATAGAAAGATACTCCTACTTTTATTTCAAATTGTTTTTGTTTCCACGATCTGGAATGTCGAACGAAGAATTAACGACGGCTGATCAATAGATAGAGTTGATGCGAAAGATGCGAGAAAAGTTTTTGCACCAATTCAAAGTGCTTTGTCAGGCGAATGAAGCCAGCGTAGCCCAAATTGCATTACTTCAACAGCAAAATGACACCCTTCAAATGGCTATGGCTCAGTTGACACCTCAGCCACCACCAGTTGATGGGGCTGCGCCTCCTCCCAACCAAAAAGAGCCTCAAGTCAATGGGGTTCGGCTTAATGAAGTTCGACCTAGCAAAGTTCAGCAAGAGAAGAGGACAAGGTCCAAGGTGGTAGTTTCGGACAATCTTCCTCGTCGCACATAGGATGAACAGGCCAAGTCCAGCCGTAAGCTTACGGTATAGTCTAATGGTGTTCTAGATGGTGTAAGAGTAAAGGAGGCCTTTGACGAGAAGAGACTCCTGAGAGTTTAAACGCCTACAGAGATGGCTAGGGAACAAAAGAATTCTCTCGTGAAGACTCCATTCACTGATGATGTATACCTTATTGATAGACCTAAGAAATTCACTATGCCTTTTTTTACCCAATTTGATGGTACGAGAGATCCTTCTCGGCACCTATATCACTACGCACAAAAGATGGCTCTGGACGATCACAGTGACCCATGGATGTGCAAAGTTTTCCCTGCCAGTCTAACGGGGGCTGCGCAGGATTGGTTCAGGAATAGGCCACACAAATCTATTCCAGACCACAAAACTCTATGCACTATGTTCCTGGTGCAGTATTGTGGTAATAAGAAGCAAAAAAAGAGTATTGCTAGCCTTTTCACTATAAGGCAAAAGAAAGGCGAAACATTACAAGATTTCTTGTCCAGATTTAACATGGAGGCTTTGGAAATAGCAGATTACCATCCTGCCACCGCAATAGAAACATTCAAACTTGCAATGACTCAGGGAACCAAGTTCTATACAACCCTAGTTATGTATTCCCCTCCGGATATGTAGACTCTCAATGCCAGGGCACAGATTTATATCCGGTATGAGGAGAATGAGGCCACCGAGCTCAACATGCCACCCTCGTCACAGTGGAGAATAAGCCTCAGGAAAGGGTTTCAAACCTAAAAAGCCGAAAAAGCCAGCACGGTTCGGCACCTGCCATTCAAATACTTGAGAAAAGGCAAAGGACAGAGGAAAGGGTCACACCTCTTCGAACAACCTTGGCTCGGCTATTCCAGGAGAATAAAATAAAGTTTGCAGCCCCTCAGCCAATAAGGCAACCATTGGAATAGAGAGACAAGACCAAGCATTGCGCCTACCATAGAGATTACGGGCATGCAACTAATGATTACAGATCCCTTAGGCGACAGGTGGAAAATATGATATTAAGAGTTAAATTGGCAGGCTACCTCACAACAAAGGAGTACGTGAAGCCTTGGGAGGTCAATCCCAGGAAAGTCGAAGGTAATCAAGTAAAGGTCATCCATGCAATATATGGACAATCGGAGGATGATCAAGAGTCAGAGGAGGTATATAGGTCCCAATTAAGAGCAACCCATAAGCTAAGGAGGTTATCCTCGGTAAACGCTATCACTTCGGGAAGCATCAACATTGGGTTCGGCGATGGAGATCTATCTAGAGTTCAACTCCCCCACGAGGATCCGTTGGTCATCAGTCTCTTGGTGGCGAATTGCATGATTAAGAGGGTTTTGGTAGACCTGGGTAGCAGTGCCAACATCATCAAAAAGGTGGTCTTTGAACAGCTAGAAATTCCGTCATCATCAATTCAGCCCACCTCTAGCCCATTGATGGGGTTTGATGGTACAAAGGTGGACCCCCTTGGGGTAATTGACCTATCCGTAACTATGGCAAAGAGGACACTGAAGGAGAACTTTGTCTTAACAGAGATCCACCCTTCTTATAATCTCATTATGGGAAGAGGCTGGATCCACCGAATGAACGGGGTTCCATCTACCCTTTATCAAGAGATACGATGCTTGTCTCCGGCTGGTAAAGAGGTTATTGACCTCAGGGGAGATCAAGTAACTGCCAAAGAATGCTACATGTTGACAAAAAATGAGGCAAAGAAGGTAACAAAAGAGTCCCAACCAATCACACCTCTTGGGAATACATCCAAATAGCAATTACAGAATCCTCTACCTAGGTATTTGAGGGCAGAGGATGTGGCCGAAGCTGAAAAGCCTACCGAGGAATCTCTGGAGGCTGTCGAAGTGATCCTTGGCGATCCTCAGAAAGTCACCTACATAGGTTCTTCCCCCACAGCCGAAGAAAAGAAAGCATTAATTGATGTCATTCGATGAAACACAGATGCATTTGCTTAGGAACATTCAGACATGGTGGGAATCAATCCTCTAGTCTCATCCCATAGCCTAAAGGTGGATTTGGTGTACAAACCAGTTAAGCAGAAGCACAGAAGGTTTGCCCCAAAGTGTAACCAAATTATAGCTGAAGAGGTAAGCAAGTTGCTCCCGGCAGGCTTCATCCGAGAAGTGCACTACCCACAATAGCTCTGCAACGTGGTGATTGTTCAGAAGAAGAATGGAAAATGAAGGGTGTGCATAGATTTTACCAATCTCAACAAAGCCTTCCCTAAAGACAGCTTTCCATTACCCAAAATTGATTAGATGGTTGATGCCACTACTGGTTTTGAGAGGCTCACATTTCTTGATGCGTACTTCGGCTACAACTAAATCCCTATGAATCCGAAGGATGAAGAGAAGACTGATTTAATAACAGAGAAGGGCACCTACTGTTACAAAGTCATGCCCTTCGGTCTCAAGAATGCTGGAGCAACTTACCAGCGCCTTGTCAATAAGATCTTCAACGAGATGCTAGGGAAGACGGTCGAGGCCTATATCGACGATATGGTGGTCAAAAGTGTAAAGAAGGAAGAACATCCTAGGCACCTCCAAGAGGTCTTTGACATGTTAAGAAAGTATGGCACGAAGCTAAATCCTTTGAAGTGCTCCTTTACGATTTCTTTAGGATAGTTCCTCGGTCATATTGTAAACAAAAAGGGAATTGAGATGAGTCAAGCTCAGGCTCGAGCCCTTATACAAAATCAAGAACCAAAAACCCGTAGGGAAGTACAAGTTTTGGCCGGTCGAATTGCAGCCCTCAGTCAATTTATCTCTCGATTATCAGATAAGTGCAAACCATTTTTCGATACAATAAGGTCCAAAAACAAAGACATATGGGGACCTCAACAACAGGCTGCTCTCAATCAACTAAAGTGCTACATGGCAAAACCCCTGATCCTATCAGCTCTAAAGCCTGGTGAGACTCTTATCATGTACTTAGCCATCTCCAGCATAGCCATGAGTGCAGTATTGATTAGAGAAGAAGGTAAGAATTAGTATCTAATCTTCTACACGAATAAGACAATGACAGATGTAGAAACATGGTACAGCAAAGCAGAAAAGATCATACTAGCATTGGAGTATACAAAAAGGAAACTTTGACACTACTTTGAGTGGCACAACATCAAAGTTCTTACCAACTACCCTATGGGAGTCATTCTTTCTAAGCTGGATTTATCCGAAAGAATAACTAAATGGGCAATCAAACTCAGTTCCTTTGATATATCCTACGAACCAAAAGTGTCGCACAAGGGGCAAGTACTAGCTGATTTCCTCTTGGAGTATGAGGATAAGCCCAAGGAGCTAGGCCCTTATGAGCCACAATGGGAGCTCCGAGTGGATGGTTCCTCAAACTTGATTAGTTCTGGGGCAGGAGTCATTATCACAACCCCCGAAGGCACCAAGCTGCAGCAATCAATCCATCTGACTTTTCTTGCTGATCGGTTGGTCAATTAACATCAACCTTCGCAATAGCACGAATCATTGTAAAATAGGGCTATTGGTCGGGTAAGTCGAACCACAGGGACTGCGCTAGTCTAATACGACCTAAATGTCTAGAATCATTCTTAGAATGATGAAGGGTGTATAGAGGTTTTGTTGGATGTCACTTAAGCTAGGAAATTAAAAGTGCATAAAACAATAAATTGCAAGAATTCAAGGGAGTGAAGTACAAGTAAAGAAGGCTAGGGAAATGAATCCACCTCCATCCCTATACACATGCTAGGTTAAGATTAATTTAAGGGGAAAACAACATATATGATAGTCATGATACATAACAATACTAGGTTGCTATAATATCCTTAAGAAGTTCATTTAAATAGAAAGGCAAGAATAAACCATCAAAGGTTCACATGATCAACTACCTAAACTAAAATGTAGCTTAGAACATGCTTACTAAGCCAAGGATTATCAAGCCCTAATTTAAATGGTGAATGCACATAAAGCTAAGAATCAAGTATAGCCCATCAAAGGGAAACCCTAAGCCATGAACTATCTAGGTTCTCCAACTCCATGCCATTAAAACCATTCCATGATCTAACTTCCATTGTCACCATGGAAGTGCAAGCAATATGATTAAGAAAAGCAACCATCCAAGACAAGATGAATAACTCACAATAATCATTTAAAACATTCAACATTCATTACAACAAAAATGAGGCTCTTGATCATGGAAAGACTATCAAAAATACATTGTAATCCCCAAAAATAAACTATACTAACACATGCTTACAAGGGAGGGGTTTCATCACCTCCCTAGATGAGGTTTAGTTGCCCATTGGTGAGCTAGAAGAAGGAAGAAGCATCATCCTCATCTCCATTTTCGAGCTCCTACTGTAGCACTCAAGAACACCCTTCTCCTTGCTCTCTTCTCTCTCCTCTATCTTGCTAAAGATGAAGCTTTTTTTTGATATATGTGGCCTTTGGGTAGCCTTTTATGCTCCAACAATACCCTCTCTCCTCCAAGGAACACCTCCAACCACTTCATAAAGAAGGAAGATGGCATTGAGGAAACCAATGTGCAAGTGGGCTGAAATGAGCCATTTCCGAAGGGAATTCTGCCTGATTTTCGAGCACACGCTTGGTGATCTCGAGCACTCTAACTTAGTGCGATGTGCAACATGCTCCTCTTGCTCAGCGCTGACCTATTTTGGGAAAACTGCTATAACTTTGTGCCCTGAACTCCGAATGACAATCTGTTTGAAGATTTGGAGAGCGGATTTAGTGTTTTAAAAACTTCATGTTTTGATGAAGACCCAATTCTCAAGTCTGGTTGGTCGAAAATGGGGAGAAAGGCAGTACATCAGTGCTGCTAGGCAGTTCTGCGCACCTCTGTTGTGAAGATCATAACTCTCTGTTCCGAACTCCGAATGATGAACCAATTGAAGATTTGGAAAGCTGATTCAGAGATCTAAATCTTTCATGTTATGATGGAAGTCTAGTTCTTGAGTTTGCTAGGTCGAAAAATGGCGAAAAAAGTCAGGATCACCGCTGCCAGAAAATCAGAAATGGCATCCTTTTTGTTCAAAATTCCACAAGGCCTCATTTTTTTGCTTCCTTTTTGCACTTCAACCTGAAAATGCATAAAAACATGCAAATGGAGTTAATCTACATAAAATAATTAATAACTGGACTTTGTTAATGTAATTTAGGGCGCTTGAATATACAATATTCGGCGCTTATCACACCCCCAAACTTACATTTTGCTAGTCCCTTAGCAAAACTACAATGAAAAACATAAAGAAAAGACAACCATGGGCATGCTACTACAAAAATATCATCCATGGTAAAATGAGATAGAAACATAGCTCAAATACAACTTGAAACAAACAAAAACTGGAGATGGGGTCATTGGGAAAACTACCTTGCATATATGAAGCATTGATACAAAAATGGGAAAAACCATTTCAACATGCATGCATCAACATCATAGTCCATATAAATAATTCAATTGTCATCTCTTAAATGGAAATAACTCAAACTCCAGTGAAAGTGAATTGGATTCTCACATGCGGCTTTTACTTTCTTGTCCAATTCCAAGGCACAAGTTTTCAAATCAATGAATTCCCTTTTACATGTAGTCCCTAAGGCATAATTTTATTTTCAAGACAACTTTTGTTGCTTGTTAACAATTTATTTCAACATATAAGCGAAACGTAGAATGGTTGTGCAATGCTGAAGTCCATTAAGCTTTCTAACCAACTTATGTAGCAAGCGTTAGGCCAACAACTCCCAAACCAGATGGCTTTATGGTGCTAAGTGTAGAGACACTCCATAGGGCTTAATAGCTCAAGTTGGAAAGGCTACGAACTCCAACGAACCATGTTTATTACTAGTTTATTTTTTTGAATGACCGTGCAATGTTTAAGTCCCTTAAGCTTTCTAACCAACCCTTGTAGCAAGCGTTAGGCCAACAACTCCCAAACCAGATGGCTTTAGGGTGCTAAGTGTAGAGACACTCCTAGGGCTTAATAGCTCGAGTTGGAAAGGCTACGAACGTCAACTGGTCATTTTTTTCTTTCTTTCTCAATTTTTTTTTTATTTTTTATTTTTTTTTTTTATTTTTTTATTTTTTTTAAATAATACATGCCAAAGGTATCCATCTATCAGGTTCATCAAATCAGATTAACTAGGCCAAGGTCAAGGTCAATCAAGTTGCATGCCTCACAGTTAAGTTTCCAATGTGCATCTGTGCATTGTGAAGCTTATAAGAGTGTAAATCCAGCAAGAATCTAATTGAGGCATTTATACAGACTACATTGTATTTACATGATCATTTCAACTCAAATTTTTCTTTATTTTCAAAAATTTCAATTGCTTCTATACACAAGGTATTAAACATATGTTTCATCTCCGACAAGTGTCAAGTTATACTATCATTGCTTAGCAAAAATTATGGAACCAAAAATATGCCAAGAATGCTTTGATGCACCCCCAAACTTAAACGACACAGTGTCCTCAATTTGGAACATGGATGCAAGTTAGAGACAAAAATGACAAAGAGTATAAAAGGAACAACAATACCCAGGGGGAGGGAACGGCATTTGGAGACAAAAACCCCCAAACTTGAACTGGACTGCGCAACCTGGAAAGCAACATGAAGAACCAAAAGAAACAACCACAAACAGCATTAATAGCACAAGCATAAAGATAGAAAATGAATGTATCGAAAGTTAACAGAACATAAAGAATTTGCATTGCAAAAAGAGTGTACATGATGACAAAAAGAGCTGTACAGGGATCATGTCGACCAGAGCAACCTATACATAGCAAATTCTTACAGTTGAAAAGGAAAACAAAATATACAAGAGAAATAGTTACAGATGAAACAAAAAGAGAAGGTCCACACTCGCAACAAGCTACTGGCCAGAAGGTAAACGGGCGAGGATGGAATGGAGGAGAGATTGAGTCTTACGCCGTTCAGCGGAAGCCAAATGACAGTC